ACAAGCCTGTGGCTTCTTCTGAATATAAAGCTCTACCCTCATTGAACTGCCTGCCCCTGGCTTTTTCCCCATTTCCGTCAATGGAGTACAAATGATTGCCTAGGTTTGGTAGAGCAAAAGCTTTGCTCTGAGATAGAAAAAATCAGCACTTCTCGCACAACCCTAGGGTGGGATTTCCAGAGTGGAGGAAAGACAACATGCGCACACAGCTGTCTTGCCATTCTTGTATTGGAAAGTGAACCATGTAACCTCAATCGGTAAGTTTTAAGGCACCATAGTTAGAATAATACATCACAAAATACAGCAGCATAGAAAGGCTATATAAATACTGACCCCGTGTGCTTACCTTCTGCTGCGCTGAGCAGAAATAGTGCAAGTATCCAAATTCCAAGCATCTAGAACAGTAGAAAAAGAAGCAGCTAGGATTTGCTAATCCGCTTGATCAGCAAGTGCACTTAGCTTTCTGGTGCTGAGTTTCTTCAAGGTGAAAAGGGTGCTCTGTCTGTCTTCCCTGCAAAGTGAATCTATGACTGCCACGTGTGTGAGACGTGTAGGAGCCAGCTTTATGTTTGCTTGCTCCTCTAGAGATTTTGGACTCCTCAATCTATCAAAACATAGCTTTGATCCAGAGTGATTGTTGTCCTGTTGAGGCTGTGCTGCTAACTGGATGTAGAACTGGTGTAAGGGCACCTCTATGATCTGCCATTCCCCTTTATACTGCTGTGTCTTGAGAAGCCACGTACCTGACAAGGTAAAAGAAAAACCCCAAAGCCTGATCTACTTACAGTGCAGCCTTGAAGCTCCATGCACTAATGTGCAAACTTTGCATGTACTTTTATAGTCTGCTTTATCCTTGGAAATGTTCCTAGAATGATAGGGACATGTATTTCAGGTTATAGTTTATAGCTGACCTGGATAAGAACTGCAATGGTTGGTTTCTCTGAAAACTCCAAAATCCATGCACATAAGTTTCTTGAACTGGTGTGCTGGAGCCCAAACACGATTGGAGGTAGGGTAATTCCCAGGCAGCAACACATCAGGAGTGGGACATAGAGAATTATGTAAGTCTCTGTGGCAGTGCATTTAGGGGCTTATCTTGGCTGAGGAGGCTTTTGGTTTTGGTGCTGCACAGTTGGAATGTAGGGGGTCTACTGGGGCACTGAGTAGGGAACGACATTGTCTTTTAAGTCCACTGCCTTGCCCTGCATGAAGTGACTTTGAATGTGGGATGCTCCTGGGTCTTTTATGTCTGTTTCCTGACATCAGCTCAATTAGGTGGAGCCTTTTCCCTTCAGGAAAACTTCAGTGTGTCTGGTAGGGCTTTTCATAGTGAAAGTCTGACCTTCTACTCATTTCCCTTTTGTTGCCTTGTGTAAATAAGTAGATGTAGAAGGACAGTTGTCTGCCTGTATCCTTTCTACACTACCCATGTAACCCAAGTTGTAAGAAAGCCCTTCTCTGAGTGACAGACTGAGAGCAAACTAGAAAAATATATCGGTAACATACAAAATTCCCACAGAAACAGCAACATGGCTGCTCTATGTAGCAATGTGACAGAACTCAGTACATGATTCTACTACGGATGTCAGCTGAAGGGTGAAAAGCAGCCAGTGCAAATGAACAGGACTAGGTGTGGGAAGCCTTTGCTCCTGTTTATCTCTAGGAGAAGACTGTAAGTGGACTCAAGAAGAAATGAGACTTCACCTAGAGGGCTTTGTCAGCTTGGCTGTGCTTTTTGGCTGTGGCCAGAGATCTTTGCAGAGCTGACATTCCCTAATCTCCACCTCTGGGAATGACCAAATGGATACCAGCTGTGTGCATAGGTATCGCACTGCTATCATCCATGCTAGTGGGGTTTATTTCTTTAAATAGTGGTAAAGTTTTAAATTTTTTTCCAAAATATAACCTCTGATACTAATTTAGAAGTTGGTGTTCCTGTCCTTAATTGAAATAGCATTTTAGTTTGTAAATATATGTGTTCATATCAGTGGACTAGGGCAGGTACTGATTGTTCTGCACCACTGATAAGTTTTAACACGTTTAAAAGGAGAAGGGAGCAGTCTTTCTCATTTAATTTAGGAGCTGGTGGAAAAGATTTGTTAGGATTTTATCACAGTCTGCGGCTGTTATTCAACACAGTAATAACACAGGGTGAATCCTTATTCCTTTTATTATTATTTGTGGTTAAGGTGAATCCTTATCCACAAATCCTTAGGCTGTGGTCAGATGGGTTTCAGCTGCATGTTTCTCCTTTGGGAAGAAGGGGCAGGGCTGGAAAGCATGTCCTTCAGTATGAGCAGGATGCTCACTATGGAGGAGCTGTGGTCCTTGCAGCCTCACAGTCAGGGGCTGTTGGCAGAAAGATGGCTTTCCAGAGAGAAGGCAGCAACTAAGGGCCTTGCTATGTTTCTGCTGTCCTGAAGAAGCTGTAGTCTGGAATGGGAAGCAGGCAGAGGAGAGGACTAGATTTCCAGCACTGCAGGATGCCACGGCTCTCTCCTGGGACACGGCACAGTGCTTCCCGGCATTGTTCATACTTCCCTTGCCACCTGTCAAGTCCCCAGGGGACTGTCTTGGCTGAACCTCAGATTTGTGTTTAATTATGTCTCTAATTTCATACAGGCTTGGTTAGTGTTTAGTCAAGGATACAACACTGACTTGTTCTTTACAAAGAATAAAATTCATTCAGATATTTATATTCATTATAAATATGTTCTTCATATTTCTGAGTTTATCTGCCCAAGTGCTTATACACTATTTATTAAACATTGGGAAGTGGGAGTGAATAAATTATTAACTTTCTTCCTATTAATTAACTTGGAGTTTGGTTTTTATACTTAGAAAGAGATCCACTGCCTTGGTCTCTTAAAGCTGCAGGTGGCTCACTCATGCCATGCTTTGTGGAGCAGTAGCACTCATTTTAACGTGAAATAGTCAGTCCCAGGTTTTGCAAAGCCTGGAGTTAGTCAAAGTTTCTCTCCCGGATTGTCAGTGGTCCCAGCAAAAGTATGTGTTTGAAATTAAACCATAGCCAGGTGCTGTGCTTTAACTTCTTCTTTAGTGGGGAACACCTGAGGTTTGTCTTTGCCTGTTTGCTTCCCTGAAAACGCGATCTACAAAGGGCTGTGCCAACTTGCTGATGGAATACGCTGGTCTTGTTCTGTTCCTGCCCCATCTCACAGCATGCTCTGAGGACAGTGCTCTTGTGTGGGGTTGGAAAGTTTTGAGCAATAGCGTCGGCTGTGGAAAGGAGGTGTTTGGGACCATTCCCAGCTGCAGGGAATGGTAACATACTGCCTTGAGAGTGCGTGAGAGACAGAAAATCTGGAAAACTATCAATATGGTGGGGAAACAGTTCCTACCTGCTTTTCATGAGGCACTAGTGGAGTAAGATTTTGCAGTCTTATAAATGGATTTTAGCATATATGATTTCCAGTTACTTCCACAATAAACGTGGTTCAAACATGAAAAACATTGATAAGTTTGTTTGCAAAGAACTGGAAAAACAAACAAACAAAAAAAAAGAAGCAACAGGCAGTTTGAGTTTCCCTTTAATAGCCTTGTGTACCAAAATTCCCATGCACAGGACTGATGGTTTGCTCAGCTGCTGTGTACAGAACAGTTGTGCTTGGTGACCTCTAGCAAGGTGTGAGTAACTGCGGAACTCCATATGTCACAGTTCCACGGCCACAAAAACTTGACCTGGGAATCAAAAAATATTTGAATCAAGATTTTTTTTTTTTTCATTCCCACAAAGAAAAATGATACGTTGTCAGGTATCACCTTGAGGGTTGTTAGTTCAATCCATAATCCCATTTAAGCCTTCCTAAAAGCCTGCTGTACAGAATATTATCATCTGCATATTAACAGTAACAAGGTGAATTTCCTTCTTTTGTGGACCAGCTGAAATTGAAATTGAGTTCTAATACATGAATAAAATTAATCTCTAGATTCACAAATATAAAGCTTTAGCTAAAAAGTCAGGAAAGCAACTTGTTAAGCAGCATTTATTTAAGCTGGCTGTTTATCTAAATTGTCTCAATCAAAGCTTGGCAGCTTTTTTTTTTTTTTTTTTCTTAGGAGCTTACAGTGAAAGCAATTTTGTCAGCTTTCCTAAATAACCCATGATGATGCCAAACTATAAGGAGGTTTTTCCCTAATATCTCGCCAGTATTTCCTCTGTTGTAAAATACATCAATTAAACCTTGACCTAAACTCGGAGGATATGTGGAATAGTTAACTGTGACCCTTCACAGGCAGTTTATGCTTCTGTTTTATGCCTTTCTCCAGGCTCTTCTTTATTGAGAAAAACATTTCCTTCAGCTGCCTGACGTAGATCACGTTTTCTAAATCTGTTTTACTGTTTTTCCAGACTTCAGGCTGTGTGCATCGTTTCTGAAGTATACTCTGCAAACTTAAAATGTCCCTACTTCTGGTTATAGTCTCATCCCAATTATTCAGATTAGAACAGTTATTCCCTGGATCTCCTATACAATAGTCCTGGTGATGTACCTGGGAATGAGACCTGCTTTATCTTGGTGTGCAGTTGTTTTGCTGTGGCACAGTGTACACCCCAAATTATTTACTGCTGTATTCTTTTCCAGAGAGTTATTCCATGGTTTGTACTCAAACATTTGTTTTCTTATCCTTGTCATGACTGTAATCCACATTGTTGGTTGCAAACCAATTTATCAAAACCATTTTTCAGTCCTGTCTCCCAGGGTTTTTGCACTCTTTTCCCATTACTTCTGACCTGTGAAAGGTATATACTTACCTATGTCCATCTTCTCCATGAATTATATTGACTGTTTCTGCTCCTAGTCTTGCCCAGAGCAGAGTAAATACGGTTTTATTCCAGAGGAAGTCGATTTTTTTAGTATTTTTTGGGTTAATTTCAACATCAAGGTATTTTGTATAAACTTGGTCTTGAGAGAGGACTCCGCTGCAAATCAAATGAAGACAGCAATGCAAAGTGTGACTGTTTGGAAGTTACAGAACTAAATCACATTCTCTGCAAGATTTGGGATTTCCCCTTTGTTACAACAGAAACTTGCACTTTTGCTGTTCTTTGCAACAGCACAGGACACTGGACCAGGACTCTCAGGGGTGTTATCTTCTCCCAGTCCAGAGTATGAAAAACAATACTGAAAACTTGAAATGCGCATGTGGCAGGAGACCACTGGGAGATAAGGGTGAGGCTGGAGCTGCCTCCCGAACCCCAATATGCTGAGTTCTGCAGGTATTGCTGCAGGGAGAGCTCCAGCGAGGTTATCGGGAAGGATGTGATAGACAGTCTGGGGACTTCTGTGATTTGGTCTGCCCATGCACAGAGGATGATGGGACAACACATGGAAGTGCTTGTTTTGGAGCAGGTGCAGAAGACAGTGGGAGCTGCAGCTTTGACAGTCAGTGGGAGGTGATGAGCTGAATGAGGCTCACTGGCCGGACCGTATAGATGTGCCAGTCGGATATATAGTAGCGATAGGTTTTAATCTTAGGGAGGAAGGAGCTTTTGCAAATGGGTAAGTTCAGGCACAGGATTGCCTTGCATGAGCTCATACAGCAAGTCACTGGCAGAGCACGTGGAGAGGGTGTGCTGACGTGTGTGTTACCACGCTGCGTGGGAGCTGTTGTACTACAGTGCACATGAAACAGGTGAGCACTGTATGAATTATGTGCATTCCAGAGGTGTACATTTATTTTTTTTAAGAGCAACTTGGAGAAAGACAGAACTCCTGCAAAGGAAGTGACTTCCATTTCCCTTTTACAACCATCCATCTGCCCCCATGTGTCTTATGAAAAAAGTTATCATCTAGATGTCTATGTTAAGCAGAACATTTACAGCCACGGATAAGTGTTTTTATACTGTTTAAGTATGTGGGAAATATGTAGATTAAGGTTAGCAGCAGTAAATGTTATAAGAAAACTTTAATTTATCTTACCTGGCAATTTCATATTCTTTTGTGTTTCCCTCTTTGTCATGGAAAATTAGGTTTATGTCCCCCCTCATTTTCTTTACGCCAGACAGCTTAATAAATACTTTTTGTCTCCAAGCTGAATAAAGAAAAGCAAAGTAAAACAAGAATGAAATTGATGAAAGACATATATAAAAATGCTAGTATACTGGAATTTTTTTTCTAACTGGAATTCATTGTGCTAGCAAATGAAAGACTTGGTGAGCTTGAATTCTGATTAGTGTAGCATTTTCTGTCAGAGATGTTGGCAATTGTTTATAGAAGCAACAGGAGTGCACAACTCTAAACACATCAAGACAATAATTTTTCAAACATATTGAAAACTTTAACGAACCTTCTCCACTTACTAGTAAAAGGTGGGTCTGCTGCTGTATTTAAAAAATACTTTTGGTTTACTCTCTTCAGTTTATCTGGGAATCTGTCAGCATAGTGCCCCATCATTGGACATCCCTCCAGGGGACATGGGAAGCAGTCTTCCTAAGGGAAAATAAGAGCATCAGTTAACGAGGAGCGGTTTTTTCATCCTAGCTCTGACAACGTTAAGGCTGAAGACATTCTGATCCCACAAAGCTGTGGTAGCTTAGGGTGAGAATTATATAGGATTTATATATTTTTCCTATTTTATATTGTCTGTGGTTCAGGATTCATTTTCTAGAGTGGAATAGTTGATGGAGCTGCTGTGCCTCACTGCTCACGTTCCCCTACCAAACAACAGCATGAGAGCACAGCTGCCAGCATCCAAGTGCTGTGAGCATGGAGACTTGGGTTACTTTCTTTACAGCCTACCCATTCCTGGGCTGATATACTTACTAACTCAAAGGATTTGTACGTTTCACAGGGATATCCAAGGTATCCAGTGGGATAGAGGATACTTTCAAAATAAAACTCGTGGCTGCGTGAGTGATGGCACCCCCCAATGATTGTAGCATCTGTTGGAACAAAGTTTATGAGTATCCATGAAAAAACCTTCTGTTATCCTGTACAAGAGTTGTACTTGCCTCTCCATGGAAAGAGCTGAGGCACGGAACGGAACAGTAGCATGGTCTTGTAGTAATTTTTCTTTTGAATTTGCCCATTTCTCATTGCCATAGAAGTTACTGTTTTGTCTGGAGAGCTGTGTGCCAGTTACCCCAAGATTTTAAGTGATATGCATTGGTCTGCTATGGTATAATAGTCTCTTTTATGAGGACAGATTATATATATATATATAAAATGTCACAGCAAGATAAATTAATTAGTTTTACAAGGCTTAATAGAGCAAGGAGAATCTACCAGCCTTCTGCCAAACTCTCCAAAGCCTGTGAAGAGAGAGGAGCCTCAGATGGAGAGGTGAGGAGTGTACAGTCCCTGGAAACACTGAGTGCTTTTGCCTAATTCGTGCCCTAGTGAGTGTCAGGTGCTCTTTGCAGCATCTGCAAGAAAGCAAAGGCGGTGGTGTCGTGCTGCTGGCTTGGTCATGACACTGGCCTACCTCAGCCTGGACAATCTCCTGCTGGGGTTGTTGGACTTGCAGATTCCCTGTTCCCTGCATTTCTGTGCTCTAAGCTTAGACCTGTATTATACCTTCTTTTGCTACAGTGTTCCCTGGGGAGAACTGTTCTTATCCAGCCTTTATTTTTTCATATTTCCTTTTTTAACCTAAGAGTAAATAGGCAAAACACAATTATGTGTTGCTGTTTTTCTCTGAATCAGAAAGTTATTTTCACAGTTCACATTTCAGAAATGAATGAAAATTAAGTACTCATCGTGTTAGAAATCTATGTTTACCTGCAATAACAGCTTCAAAATCACTTTGTTTCATCTCTGGAATTAAATCGGTACATCCAGGCATCACAGTTCCTCCGTTTGGATAAAAGTCCAGGTGACCAGTGGTGTTATATATCCCAAACCCTGAGATACACACATGGACACTGTCAGCGTCTTGGTGACATTCCCATCCCTGCAGGTATTTACTTGCACGTGAGCACTTACCGAAGGCAGGAAAGTGAGCAGCATTACTGTGAATAACATCAACAAAGTTTGCATCTGAAGGATCCAGTCTCACCTCGGGAGGAGTACCTTCAAAATAGGGCCCAGCAGGGTCTAAACCTAAAACCCAAACATTTATTGGGTGAGGGAGGGAGAGAACTGTTGCAGGTATTACAGTCTTTTGCCAACTTACAATATCAGATATTCAGTAGCATACAAGGCAGGTTGAATAATAATGATGTGGATTCTAAGGTAAACTGAAAAATATATGCAATAATATAGTTTTATGAACCTTTCTGCAAACTTATTCCAACAGAAGTAGAATATTTTCCAATAGACTCTGTAATCATAGAATCATAGAATGGTTAGGGTTGGAAGGGACCTTAAAGACCATCTAGTTCCAACCCCCCTGCCATGGGCAGGGACACCTTCCACTAGACCAGGTTGCTCAAAGCCACATCCAGCCTGGCCTTGAACACTTCCAGGGATGGGGCATCCACAGCTTCTCTGGGCAACCTGTGCCAGTGCTTCACCACCCTCTCCGGGAAGAATTTCTTCCTGATATCTAATCTAACCCTCCCCACTTTCAATTTGTACCCGTTACCCCTTGTCCTTTCGCTACAGGCCCTTGTAGAAAGTCCTCTCCCAGCACCCTTGTAGGCCCCCTGCAGATACTGGAAAGCTGCAATGAGGTCTCCTCGGAGCTTCCTCTTCTCCAGGCTGAACAAGCCCAATTCTTGCAGCCTTTCGTCATAGGAGAGGTGCTCCCAGCCCTCTTATCAAATTCGTGGCCTCCTCTGGACTTGCTCCAAGTGGTCAATATCCTTCTGATATTGAGGGCTCCACAGCTGGACGCAGCACTCCAGGTGGGGCCTCACCAGAGCAGAGTACAGGGGCAGAATCACATTACTACGAAGGAGGCATTTTATTACCTGTGAACCTATTAATGGCCTGTAAAGCTTTACAAATAGGAAAAAACAATGATTCTTGATATGTTCCTTTGTTTCTGTGTAGAGCCTGATGTAACCCAGGCTCATGTGATGATGGTAATGTTACAAATATAGTAACTGTGCTTGTCCTTCTGCTAAAGTCTCCTACTAAAGAGTTTTTAACTGAACTAGAGAAAGATGTAATAATTAGCCTTGTTTCTGAGAAGCGTAAGGTCTGCCTGCTTTCACGCAAGGTGTCTCCAGCACTGCCAATAATTTAATTTCAGTCTGCAGACCAGGTGTGTTGCAAGTTTTCTTTCCTCTGGACACGTGCTATGTTAGCTCTGCACCTTGGTGAACAGCCTACCTGTTATCCGTCTGATGCCTCGGATCCTTCTTCCCGCCTCTCCTGCAGCATGTGCTCCCAGACTGTGGCCAATTAAATGGATTTTGCAAGGGGAATATCTGAAGATTTTCTGATCATTAAGGTGGTGGTGGGAGACAAGAACATACAGGCTTTAAATAGCAAGAAAAGAGGGTGTCTTATATTACAGGCCTTTGGGTACATCTAGACTGACTTCCTGCACAGCAAACAGGGTGTGAATTCCTCGAGTTAATTGTTGCTTAAATTACAGTAAGACTTGATAGAAAATGATCCCATTTAGAATTTTAAACACCTACTGATGATGGATTCACTGTTGTAGCGTTGGTATATGGTTACTGTGTTCAGTTACCCTTTATGGCAAAATATGAACCTTTTTTCTCCTTTGGATCAACCCTTAATTTCATCTTCCAACAAAATCATATCTTTTTAAATTTATTCACTTTGTTATGGAGCCCTTTTTCTCCTCATATGTCTATTTTCCACATGTCTACTTAGAATATGTTATCACATCACTCAGTAATATTTTCAGTGACAAGCTTAAGTGGGGTGATGTTCGTTCTCCTGTTTGCCAAGTGTCACCTGTACAAGACCTGCATTGCTGAGATATTGCATATGAATTGAAGGTGGAAATAGGGATTAATCAGCATGCAGGCTGCATGCAGAGGAGACATTTAATTCAGGGATTTTCTGGATTTTGTAATGACCAAAACCAATAAGAATTAGTTGCTAATTGCTTGAGATTTTTACACTGTTTTGCAATGTGTGTACCAAAATGAAAGGAGGTCTGTAGTGTTGGCCTGTCCACCTGGATTGTTAGATGGCAGATTCCATTGAATACACTTTACTGCAGTACTTCTATTTACAATGCCTCTAATTCTTTCTATTTACCATGCAGACTAGATACAGGTTTCCTAGGGAGAAGCAGCAGATTCCAGGGGTATGTTCTTTGATACCCTGGTGCGTGCAAAGTTGACACTTTGCTTTGTGGGCTCTGAACTTTCTCCTGCAGCACTTCAAGATGAACACCTACTGAGCAGGATCAACAGGCAAGGTTCTGGTTTTCAGCAAATCTAAGTACTCACAAGCCTTTCTGAAGTCAGCGGGAAATGCTGATACTCTTAAACTTTGCAACTGAGCAGCTCTGTGCTGTATACGAACACTTGCCTTCGGAACATGAAGTTCACAACTGGAAGGCAGCAGGACAGTTTATTGTGCCTGTAGACAGCAAATATGACATTACTGAGTGAACCAGTTCCTGCTCATTTTAGTGGTTTTAAGCTGAGACACTAATTTACTTCTAGCACACGTACATAATGCTGGCAAAACTGGTGAGCTCAGGCCTGCCTCATTTCCATTGAATGCCTTCTTGCCTGTATCATCATATGGAAATGTTGCCATCTACTGGTCTTTAATTGATTGGCATCTCTTTTCCACCACATTAGCTTCGTTTGCACCTGTTGTGGCTGCGAGAAGTCCTTAGAGTTCATAATTAGCTGGATCTCAACTGCTCTTCCTGAAGCACTGGCTGACCATACTGGACAAGGTTCAAAATCAAAGCAGCAGCATCATAACCCCACTACATCCACTTAAGAACTGTAGGTGGTAAAGCTGCTGTTTACCTGTAAAGTTTTTAGGAAATAAGCAACCTCGGCCCCAATCACGCGGATGTTGTTCACGGCGCTGACGTAGGTGCCTTTTGCACCGTCTTTCCAATCAACAGCAATGCAGTTGATATTTTCCACTTCCAGTAACAGCTGATGTGGGAACACATAAAGGAAAGTATTTATGGAAACAAAATAACAAACAGTCATTCAACTTAAATCAGAATAAACATTAAAAGGTAGGTGATATAATAATGGAATTTTGATTCTTTACCGAACAGGATTCTTTACTGTAGCCCATGCCACACTGAAATGTACATCTTCTCCCAAAACAATTTGTTCAAAAAGTATCAATTATGAAAGACCTTAATAAAAATATTTTACTTTATAAGCCGTTTGTATGCATATTTGAAAGTGTGGAAAAGCCACAGAACTGCACAGTAGCTGCTATGTGCAGTATGTGACTTTTTGAGGGATGTTGCAGTTTAACTGAATAGCATAGCAAATAGACTTATTTATCAAGTGTCTTTTAAAACTGAGAAACTCATGTCTGCCTGGACAAGTTTGGGGTAAAGTAGAAGGTTTCTGTTTCAGCAAAGAAAGCTGATGTGTTGGTCGCTTCTCTGTCTGTCAGAGTCTTGCAGACTTCAGTGATTTCCCTTCCCCCCCCACCCCTCCCCAGAAGAATCATGTATTAAAATTTGCTGTTGTAGCTTTCTGTGACTAAGGCTCACTTAAGGTTTGAGCAAGAACAAGGAATGGAAACAAAAATTAATCCGTGATGAACAGCTGAAGGTGAATTACAAGGAAAACAGAGGTTTAAGGCGATAGTGCATTGGATCCTGGACGCCCTTCTCTCTTATAGGCACCATAAGTATGTACTGTGGAGAGGCAGATAAAATAGGAAATATAATGTTCTTGATTAAAAGTTGTCTTAGATTTATGAGCAAAAATAATGCTGCAGATCTGTGACTTGGTATTCAGTGGTGGTCTAGCTTGGCCTCTTCCCTGCTGGCGTGGAAGAAGCAGACAAGCAAAATCTACTCTTGTTTCTGTCAGAGCCAAGGCTGTCACTGACAGTGCATGTGGCAGGTTTTGTGGCAGCTTCCATATTTCATAGTTGGAATGTTTTTTTTAAATTGCACTCTGTAATCAAACAAAAAGGTTTTGGTTTTTTTTTCTGATTGGTAGGCTTTGTTGTTTGTTTGTCTTTTAAAGAACTGAATAGTGGTGAACCAGCATAATATTTGTAGACTGAAACTTAAGCTTTACAACTCGGGAAAGCCTTTTGGCTGAAGGACAGTTCAACTGCTCCTAATGGGAGAATCAGTGAATTGGCATTTCTAATCCAGTATTCTGACACTGGCGTAGAAAGAGGCTGGAGACATCTGTGTTCGGTTTGTTGCTTTGATCTCATCTCTAGGGCGTGGGATGGGAATTATCTAGAGAATCATAATGTCAAATGTGACCAAGAAGCCTTGACTATGCTGCATGTTCCAGAGTGGGAACATTCTGGCTTTGTTAAAATATACTTCCTGGTTGGTATCTGCCACTGCCTAATGAATTGCAAAATAAAGGTGAATATTAGTGCCTGAAGGATACTGACAGGTTGTAGTTACAACTGCTGATGGAAATCAGAGGATACTCTCTCATACCAAGCACATTTCTACCACCCAGCCTTTTTTTCCAGTGCTGCCAAATCCATGAATGATGAAGGAAGTATTCCTGCGTGAGAAAAAATGGGAGTTTTGGATGGTTGAGGAGTTTATTGCTGAGATCACCTGTGTGTTTAAAAGAAAAAAAAAAAAAAGAAATTAAGATAAAAAAACCCAAACAAAACTATTCATATTTTCAAATCCTTTTAAAACATCAGCTAGGTCATCCCCCCTGTAGGACTCGGGGACCACTTTGAATGGACAGTGTCTGTGACTTTTGGAACCCAGGGACCCCTGCATTTTGCCTTTCTCAGTTCCACTTTGCTTTAAAAAAAGTTTTGTCCATCTGGTTTCTGCTGCTCCTACCTATTTTGCTTAAGGCTGGAAAAAGCCCTTTGTGTGGAATATTGAAGCAGCCTAAAAGCCAAAGTGTTGCATGACGCCTGTTGGCCTGAGTTGGATGAGTCTTCCAGGGAGCATCCCACTGGCTCCACATTTCCTGGTTCAGCTTGTCCTTTCACTGACCTCTTTTTCGTCTTCAATGTGCTGCCTTGCACCTAATCAACACTTTTTCCCCCTCCCCCCCCC